AGTTATTATTATATATTCAAATATATAGAAAAGTTGACAGGATAGTACAGTGAACCACCATATGTATGCTATCTCAATATCACAGTTGTTGACATTTTGCTCTATTTGCTTCTTGTCCTCTTATATATTTGCTTTTATTTTTATTACAAATTTACATAAATATATATCTGTATAAACATATAGATATGACTTAAATAAACTTAAATATATAAAAATTTATTTGCTAATTTTCTTCTGAGCCAAGTGTCATATGTCACCCTAAATACTTCACATTCATCTCCTAAGAATAAGAATATTTCTCTTTATGAACCACATTATAATACTTAACAAAATTAGCAGTGATTCCATTATATCAACTGTTGAGTCAATATTCCATTTTCCCTCATTGTCCCAAGAATATCTTTTATAGCTGTTTTCCCCTGAGTTATGGTCCAGTCATGGTCCATGGGTTGCATTTGGTTGTGTCTTCAATCTCTAACCTCCAACCCCCATGACATGGACTCATGTAGAGCTCAAAGAGCTTGAAGAGTACTTTGTGAAATCTCCCAAATTCTGGATTTGTCTGATTGGTTCTTTGTACTATAATTTGTTCCTTTGTCCTCATTTCTTTGAAATGGGAGTCAGGTTTACAGATTTGATTAAATTCAAATAAAACATTTAGCAAGAATATTTCATAGGCAATATTGCCTACTTTATATATTAGGAGGTATGTGATTTTTTTTTCCACTATTAGTGATCTTAAATTAATTCACTTTGGGTAATGACTACCACATTTCACTCTGGTAGTCATATGAGTCAGTGCTCATATTGTCCCAGATTTGACTAATGAGAGTCTCTTCAGAGTTGCTTCTATTCCATTTTACAAGCCCCCATCTAATTCTCTTCACATACGTTTTTTGCAATATAGCATAGCAACATGTTTCAAGCTTGCTTTGTACTCTTCATACCCCAGAATGGAAATTAGCCATTTTTCCAAGGAGTTGTGGTTCCAGACAAGGAGAATTGTTCTGCTTTTTATTTGTTTTGTTTTTGTTTTTTAGTTTAATGATTCTCCCTTTTTTTCCTGCCATACAGAACTTCCTTCACTGAGTTCTGTATTAAATCAGGATTACTAACTATCAGATCCCAGTATCCAAGGCAAGGGTGGGATGGGGTAAAGGAGTGGTCTTTGGTATGCCAGAGGAATGCTTCTAGCTTAAAGCAATCACTTCCTACTTTGGCAGCCTACTAGTAAAATATCCTGTCTCTGGTCCTTCTCCCTCTACCTCTGATTTTTCTTTTTCTTTCTCCCTATCTCCCTATTTATTCTACGTTGACCTTTACTTGTATTTACCTATATAAAGGATTTTGGAGTTAAGGGTATAAGCTTTGCAAAATGACCATTTCCGGCAGCCATTTCAGCTAATTAATTTGACGTTTAGGTTTTGATATGATCTTGCTTAATATTAATTTATACTTACTTATCTTAAGCAGGTTTCTTTTGCTGATGAGGCTGTGATGACTGCTGTTTCTTTCAGTTCTTGAATGGTGGTTGGCCAGATTACCTGTATGCTATATGTATTTTTAAGATTTTATTTATTTGTCAGAGAGAGCACACAAGCTGTGAGAGCGGCAGGCAGAGGGCAAGGCAGAGGGAGAAATAGTCTCCCCACTGAGTAAGGAGCCCAAGGCAGGACTCACTACCAGGACCCTGGGATCATGACCTGAGCCGAAGACAGACCCCTAACTGACTGAGACACCCAGGCGTCCCTGTATGTTAGATTCTTGTCAGTCATGGTTTGGGTGCACAACTTCGCTTAGATTGGATTTTCTACATCTGTTGCATTCTTTTCTGTCATTTGGCCAGGATTGAGTTAAATAGGTATTTTTTTCCTCACTGTATCCCCGCCCCCAAATCAGTGAAGATAGTATTTTACCCACATTTTCCTTACATAAATCTCTCTCTCCAGATTGGGGTGGCAGTGAAGCCTCATTGTGTTAGGGACGAAGGAAAATTACTGGATTGTGTGGACATACATTTTGGATTTTCCAGGAAAAGGGGAGCATTTCAAAATCTGGTGAATCAAGACAGATATAAAAAACTGATTAAGGATAGGACTGCCTGTTTTTATACTCTGCCACATAGCATGTGTTTAAATGAATTTGCCTATAATTTGTCTTCAAATGCTGACATTTAATTCTTAGGCTGTACAATTGTGCTGGCTTTTTCCAGAGTAAAATTCTTATTCTGTATCCCAGCTAATATGTTCATCTACTATAAACATTACTGCCTATGGTAACAGCTAAGCTAAAAAATTCTTTTTATATATATCATAGCTGGCAGGAAATCTTGGGACCATCACACATCATTCTTGTCTTTTGAAGCTTACTGACAAAAAGCATGATGATGTAAAACCAGCCTTGTCTGACATAGATTGACTTTGAAATCATATTAGCTTATACAGAACACTGTTCATTCTATTGTTATTGTTTATAAGAAACTGAGTATTCAACAAGCTTTTCTAATTAATGTATTCTTTAAACATAGTAACCTACCCTTTTATTAGAACCGTTCCTCTTCTATAAGCTGTCTCTGGCTCCTTTTTTTGTTAAAGGTTAATAATGAGAATAATGAAGCAATTGGTTATTTATGCAGTCATGATTGGCAAAAGTTATTAGAACAGGAACCTGCCCAGAGGCGATGATTAGGTTATGAAAATGTTAAGGAATACTGAAACCAGTCACCATTTTTGACATTTACGAAATACTGTTCCCACCCTTAATCATGATGACCTGTTATAAAAGAATTTATACAGAATAATCTCATTGGACAGTAATTTCTATACCAACAGCATACATTATTTAGTGCAAAGGGGGAGATTTGGAAATGATCTGAGAGAAGATTGGGCCTGGGGAGGAAATTACTAAAATGAGAAGAAACAGAACTCTCTCTTGGGGGGAACTGTCTCCCACACACCTGATCTACAAAGTTAGGTGACCTTTCCAATTAGCATCTTCATCTTGAGCACTTTGCAAGTTTGAGGAGCTATAGAGGAGGATATCTCTAGTTAGGCTGCTGTGTTCTTCATATTAGACTATGAAAAATGTAGAGAGAGATATGGGCAGAAAATTTCCTGATGATGGTTTTATTAATGAAACACTGACTTAATTGACATTATAGAAAAACAAAATAAGACAAAAACCTAATCATAATTCCTTTATGTTTAGTATGGTTAGAACTTTCTTTGTAGATTAGGCACTAATTTTTACCACAGCACTATTATCACTTCTACTCTGCATTTTTTGTAGCAGTTTTATTAAGATAGAGCACATACAATAAGATTTGCCCTTTTGAGGTGTGCAGTTCAATCTATGACCATACCACCCTGAACGCACCCAGTCTGGTCTGAAGTGTGTAATTCATTGGTTTTGAAAATATTCCCAAAGCTGTGTGAACACAACCGTCTAATTCCAAAACATGTACATTACCTGCCCCACAGAACCAGTACCCATCAGCAGTTGCTCCCTAGTCTCCCTCGCCCACCCCAGCTGCTAGCAAACACTAATGTACCCTCTGTCTATATGGATTTGCCTATTCTGGACATTTTTCCCCTTCAGCTTTTCTCATGTAATATGTACTTCAGAAAATTGGAGAAGAGGACAGAAAGTGAACATGGATGAATTAAAAAAAATAAAATGTGATCTTGTATACTTAAAACCGAGTATTCTTTCCCCTAGTTCATTAGAATAGGTATTTAAAACAACGACAAAACCCCCATATCTTTATATACATAAAATCATACAATATGTGGCCTTTCATGTCTGTCTTCGTTAGCATAATGTACTCAAAGTTCATCCATATTGTAGCATGTAGCAATACTTTGTTTCCTTTTATTTTCCTTTTATGGCTGAAGAGTATTCTATTGTATAGATATACCACATTTAGTTTTTCTATTAACACTTGATGACATTTGAGTTGTTTTCACTTCTTCACTATTATGAAGAATGCTGCCCTGAAGATTCATGTACAGGTTTTTGTATGGACTTCTGTCTTTTATTTTCTTGTGTTTATACCTAAATGTGCAATTGCTGAGTCATACGTAACTCAATGCCTAACTTTTGAGGGGACTGCTAAATTATTTTCCAAAACAGCAGTGCCATGTTACATTCCCATTAGCAATATAAGAGGGTTGTAATTTTTCTACATCCTTGTCAAAGCTTTTTATTGTCAGTCTTTTTGATGACAACCATCCTGGTAGATGCAAAGTGGTATCTCATATTGTGGTCTTGATTTGCATTTTCCTAATGTTTAATGATATTGGGCATATTTTCTTGTGCTGCTTGGACATTTGTATATCTTGAGAAACGTCTATTCAAGTTCATTGCCCATTTTTAATTACATTAAGTAGTTCCTTACTGTTGAACCGTACAAGGTCCTTATATATTCTGAATACCAGTCTCTTATCATCTCTATTATTGGCAAATATTTTCTCTCATTCTGGAGGTTGTTTTTTCAATTTCTAAATAGTGTCCTTTGAACCAAAAGTAGGTTTTTTGTTTTATTTTTAAAATTTTGAAATCCAATTTCTATATTTATTCTTTGGTTTCTGTGTTTTCAGGTGACCATTGCCTAATCCAAGGTTACAAAGATTTACTTTTATGAGTTTTACAGTTTTAGCTCTTATGTTTAGGTCACTGATCCATTTTCAGTTAGTTTTAGTGTATGGTGTGAGATAGGAGTCTAAATTCATTCTTTTGCATGTTTGTTTTTATTTGTTTACATGTAAAGATTTCAGAGAGAAATTTCTGTTCAAATGAGATGGCCATTGCTACTCTCTTTGTGAATTATTGTTTTCATGATTTTTTTTTGGTAGATATATGTACTGTGTTCATCTGCTTGTGCTCTCACCAAATACCGTTGCATTTTTGTCTCTCCTTTGTTTACTGGAATCTGAAAAGCAGTACTGATAGATACAGTTTGAATCAGCTTATTCGTTTTTTCCCTTAATTTGCAATCTTACCTCTTCAGCTACAGTATAGAGAATGCCAAGAACTTCTAAGTCTCTATCAGAAATATCTATCAGAACAGCAAGAGAAGCTCACCATGTCTCTCTCAGAACTTGGTGCTGCTAGAATGCAGGAACAACAGGTAAGCATCTTTTTTCTTACCTTTTCTTGACTTTTTAATGGATTAGCAAGATGTCAGAAGAAGCATTTGCCTTTACTTTGAGTCACAGAATATAACATTGTCTTAAAGCATGTAAGTATATCATGTGATTGAATTGTGTCATTTACTTTTTTTTTTTTTTTTTCATCTCCTGTTCCTGGGGCCCAAAGGTCAGGAATGATTACTTGAAGCAGGCTGTGGGGTCAGTGAGAAAGCTCCTAGTTGTCTGAAACCACAGCAGAAATGGTAAAGAAAACTCACTACTCTGTTGCTTAATGAAGAAGATCACGTGGGCTATTTGCTACCCATTGTCCTTATGGAAAACAGTAATGAGCCTTTCCTAACTCACATTTACATTTTTAGAATAATAAAGTGACTTGGTGCCTTATAAAATCTTTAATTGGAGAAAACTGAAATATTTTGCATGATTTTATATTTGTATGTATATATTAATCACATAAGTATGTATGAGAGTCTTCATATATAACATCTACATACATATCATTAAATGGTATATATTGTATAATTAAATGTTCAGAACCCTGCCAGTCGTAATGTGAAACAAGCTCTAAAAACTTACTTCTTGCCCTCTAGCAAGTGATACTTTGTATCTTTTTCATATCCAAATGAGTTTAAATCTTCAAATGGATGAGAATAGTAAGTGTTATATACTAAAACATTGTAGAAGAAACTGTGCAGTAGGGCGTAAGCCATTCATATTAAAGCCTGGCTTATGTGCTAACATGTTATCTCCCCCTTGTGAATAATATCAGGTCCTGTGAATGGTTTTTTGCAACGCTTCTAAAGAACATCATTGCTGTTTAGCCTAGAGACCACTACCTCAGATAAGTTAAGAATTTGGGCCAAGAAAACTTCAGTTTTGAACTTGAAGTTTAGACTCATAGAAAGGTTAAGATAGTAAATAATAATTTTGCTGGAATGTTATGTAGCTCAGACTTATAACATATCCTTGTTTTGAAGTCACAACATTGATAAGAAATGGCCTCACCTGGCTGGTTTGGTCAGTAGAGCATGCAGCTCTTGATCTCGGGGTGGTGAGTTCAAGCAATAAATGGCCAAAGTATGAATGGCTTATTTGTATCCTAACTTGAAATCGTTTCTTTTGTTCTGTTTTCTGAAAAACCTAGATGAGGCAGAGGATGGTGGCAGCTAATCTTGATGGTTTGGCTGGATTTTCCCTGCCACTTTGAAAGCAGGGCAGGCAGTTTTTAAGGTGGTCCTTCTGTGTTGTTCTCCGGTAGGTTGGAGAAAATTGTACCACAAAGATCAGATTTCTGACCTTTATTCTTGTATTGCCACTCCTTCCCTCTGTATGACAAAGGTGTGTTGGGGGCACAAAAATGAAGGGCAGCCCATTTTTCAAGATTATTGGAGGGGAGGAAGAGGGTTTTTCAGTTGCCAGTGTAGAGCCTTAGGACCTTAAAGATAGAGACTGAGAGTCAGGGAATAATCATAAGACAGCTCTGAAGACATCCAGGGGCCTCGAAAGACTTCTAGATAAGTAAGCCTCACTCTTTTTTTTTTTTTTTTTTAAATCTACTTCTGCAGTTGTGGGGAATCAAACTTTCTTGGCATTAATGTTTTATGTTTAAGTTAGTGATTTTTAGAGGTTTCACTGAGACCCATCATAATTAACACTGACTAACCTTAACTTTGAAGAACAAAACTAAAAAAAAAATCACTAATGATAGAATGAAGATGTTGGCCAAATACATGGAGAGAGCACTCTCAGAAACCAAAAAAAAAAAAAAAAGATACTTTTCAATTTTCATTTTGACTTAGTCATGAGAAAATTTTAAAGCCATGTTTTCAGGAAGTGCCTGATAGTCAAATCATTATGTCTTATGTGCAATGAAAATGAAATTCAAGTCACTTATGGGCTCTGCCATTTGAATTTAGAGAGGGAATATAAGTTTCTTTTTGAATGCCAACTGGAGATTGTCATCTTGCCTCCTATGTAATCTGTTTTGTTGTGACAGACTTCTTTTACCTGAACAAAGGTAAACACCTTCTCATTTCCTTTCATAGGAATTGGGTAAGTTTGGTCAACAAGTTTGTTTTATGTCAGGAAGGGCATCACTGTAATAACTCTGCTCCTGAATGAGGATATCAGGTAAATATTAAATTTTATTTGTTCTCAAAATAAGGTATTTTTTAAATTTAACTGATGTTCAGATTTTGTGATAGAGATGGCAGCAGTTCATTTTTCATGAGGCATTTATTTGACTTTAAGAGACTTTATATTTCTTCTTTGCATTGTTGGCATCTGGCTCAAATTGCATGTAAATTTTGCTTATAGTTTAATTAAATCCACAGTGCTCCGGAAGAATGACCTACCGTATGATTTTCTTCTTTGACTTCTGCCATTTCCTTGAAACTACTCCATTTACAAGGTGAATGTTTTCCTTGTTTCTCCCTCATCCTCTTTCTTGCTATGCCTTAAAGGTAAATTTTCTCATTTATTTAGCCTGGATTCATTGTGGATTCTAGAAATATTTTTCACTTGTTCTATTTAGATTAAAATACTTCATTGATGTGTTTCATTTCTTCATTTCCCTATCTTAAAAAGTAATTCTTACCCATAGTATAACCATCATCTCGGATGTGGGAGGATCTAGTAACTATCATTTTGTCCGATGTACATTTTAGAGTATAGCTTTTCTTATCACAGTTGAGTGTTATTTCTCTTTTGTGAATCTGAACTTAATGTTACCTCAAACTATGATGCTTATAACTTCTACTTTAGTTTTGATAGGCTCTACCACTTTAGAAATGTTACAGTATTTCTGAAGTATTCTTTATATGAAGAGAAAGCCTAGGTAGCATTTTGAGTAGCTTCTCCCACTGTCACTCAAAAATGTTGGTATGTAAGCCTACCTAATTATTTTTCTTACCTCTTCATTTTTTTTGTCAAGAAGATATAAAAAGGAAGATTTGGAATCTTCTTGAGATTTCCCCTTTTCTATAAATTGGACAAAATCATTATTACTTTTCAGCCATGGGCAGTAGATATTAATGAATCTCTGCTGTTCTGATCTGGTAAAAGGCCTTTTATAGAAACTTTTCCATCTTGTTCATAATTACTTGTTCCATGTTTCTTAATTTGGGTCTGGGTCATGGATTGAACAGAATTTGAAAAATACTAAAGATAAATCATTGCTGAGTATATGTTTAATGTTTCTCAGTGGTTTCTACTACCATTGTCTCTATAGTTTTGTAAAAAGAGTTTTTGTTGTGCTTAGGGCCACAGTACCTTAGGACTACTTCCTATTCGTGATTACTTTCATCTATTTTTTTGGCTAAATTTTTCTTGTTGTTCTTTAACTACCATATGTAGTCATGTGGCAGTTGAGTTCCTTACCATTTTAATTCTAATTTTATTCATTTTAATGAGTTTTTAATGTGTAATATTTATTTTGTTTCCACCTAGTACTAAGCTACCTTTAAATTTGTTATAAGAAGCCCAAATTTTATTGGCAGTCCAGAAGTTTCACCAAACTTCTGACAAACCAAATCAAAGAAAAAGTCATGCTTTTTGGATATCTATAACAGAATGTCTGCCTCGATGTTCTAAGCTCCTCACAGAATAAAAGATCTATAGAGATAATAAGAATATGATTAACAGCTGACTTCTCATCAGAAACAATGGAGGAAAGAGGCAGTAGGTTGGCATAGACAGACAAAGAGCTAAAGAGGGCGGAGTGACGGGTGCTGGGGAACAACCTAGCAGTCAAGGAAAGCTATCCTTCAAAAGTGAAGATGAGATAAAGACAGTCCTAAATTAAAAAAGACTGAGAGAGCTGGTTGCTAGCTTACTTGCCTTACAATATATACTAATAGAAGTTTGTTCGTATGAAAAGAAATGACATAAAATGGTGATTCAAATTCACTGAGAAATAGAGCACTGGTGAAAGTAATTATGTATCCTTCTTTTTTTAAATAGCTTAAAAGATACCTGAATAAAACAATAATTATAAAACTGTGTCATTGAGTTTATAAGCTATAAAGATGGTATGTATGTGTATTTGCACAAGGGGAAGAGAGTAGAAGAGAGCTATATTGGAGAAAGTTTTCTGTTACTGGGATAAAACTCTTTATTCATAAATAATATGATCTTGTATGTAGAAAATCTTAGAGAATCAGAAAAAAACCTGATAGAGTTAATGAATGAGTTCAGCAAGGTTGCAGGATACAAGATCAATAGGCAAAAATAAATTTTATTTCTCTTTGCTACCAATGAACAACTTAAAAAATGGATATATATTTAATAAAAGCAGTGTAAGACTTATACACTGAAAACAACAAAACATTGCTGAGAGAAATTAAAGATCTAAATAAATGGTATTCCATGTTTATGGATTGCATGACTGAAGGCTGTTAAAGTGTCAGTTCTTTCCAAGTTAATCTGTAGATTCATTGCAGTTTCTGTCAGCTTTCCAGCAGATTTTGATAACTTGGTTTTTGCAGAAATTGATAAGGTGATAAAATTTATATGGAATTATAAAGGAATAAGAATAGCTGAAAACAATTTTGAGAAAGAAGAGCAAATTTGAAGATTATTCTTTCCAATTTCAAAATTTACTCTAAAGCTACAGTATAATAAAAATTTAACCTAACTCACATGACTTTTCCCCCTTGCCAAAATCACACAACCACAAGGAATGTATTCTGTCAACAACCTGAAAGAGTTGGAAGCAGGTTCTCAGATATTCCAGATTAGAGCCCAGTCCAGCTGACATCTTCCAGTCTTAGGAGAAACCAAGCAGAGAACCTAACCAAGCCTACCTGGACTCTGACTTACAAAACTATGAACTAATGAATTTGTGGTTTATTTTAAACCACTGCATTTGTGGCAATTAGTTATGCAGAAATAGAAAACAAGACATACAGTATTCACGATAGTATGGTTCATGCCATCTATATCATGGGCATATAGATCAATGCAACAGAACTATGAATTC